TACTTTCTTTTAATCATCCCCCCCCCCCCCCCCCCCCCAAAAAAAACCTCCAGAATGCAGGACAAATTGCCTGAGTCATGGAAGCAGGTGCACAATGCTGTAGATGCAGATCCTGAAAAGAGCCAGACAAAGCAGTAAATATCCTCTTATTGACCACTAATTATGTGGAGTGTTTCCTGCACAATTAATGGAAGTACATGGGACTAATGTGACAGCTGTGTTCTACATTCACTGGTAGTGTTCTGGAAAGTACCGGCCTCATTTATATAATTATCTCCCTGCACATCATACAGAGCTGCCACGCCTTTTATATCCATGATCTGCAGCAGTTCTATATTAGCATTACCTACTGATTAGCATGATCTTTGAGGGCCTGTTCACACAGGGTCCGTGTATTAATCGCATGGTTCCGTGTGATTAATGCACAGTACTGCGCAACGTACCTACATAACGTTGCGGTGTGGTTGATTACATTGCGGGTGGGAAGTGCCTTTCAAAAGGCAACACAATGCACCTCCTGCACTGTTAACATATGGTAGGTGTGTTGCGCAGTACCATATACGTGCTCTATAACCTTTTTAGTATTCGCTCCTAGTCATTTGAATGACTATTTTTATTCTTATTTTCTATATTCTTTATATTTATCTATATTTTCTATTTTTTTATTCTTATTTTCTAAATTATGTTTGTTGCTGTTTATTATTATAATAACTTATTATGATTTAATAATCTGTTAAGTGTAAAAAAAATACCTGTTAATCCTGCCAGATATCTACTATAATTTTAGCTTCATGTACACACTCGCTGCACTAGTATCAGTTAGCATTGTTCAAAGTTGGTAGCTATAGAACACCTTCTCCCATGTTATAAAAGTAGAGGGAGAGGTGTTCTGTAGTCCTAATGCATTTCTAAGCCTAGGGTGACAACACTGCTATACCATAGATACAGTACAGTGAGTGAACGTTGTCACCCTAGGAGAGAAAGTGTGTTACTGGGAGAATCACCAGGTGAAAAAAAAAATCCTGAAAAAAGAAAACAAATTCCTAGGCTTCATGGCTCCATCTAGTGGTGGTAATGTTGAGCAAACAACATTTGCTATAAGATGGGTGGAAGATATATAACTCAGCCCCTTACTGTCTCACTGGTAGCAAGGCAAATTCAGTTACTTATGCTTGTTTTCTTCTTGTTTTCTTACAATATTTTGTAATAATACTTAACTTTTTAAATGTTGTATCTGCCTGGAGTTTGTCGTAATAGAAAACACACGCTGAAATTCTATGCATTCCTCTTGTAAGGTCAGTTGGAATTGCTACAAATCTAGCAGATGAGCCCAGCACTGTTATTCCTCTGGAATGCAGCATGCTTTACATGTCTGACAAACAGGATGGAATATGGGGCTACAAGATCACTGTTTCTTTATTGTAACTGAGATTCCTCTATATGACTTTTAGAACATTGCAAACATATCAAAATTGTAATGAGCGCTGTCTTGTCTTTTCAGTGAGTTCTATGAGCCAAATGCCCTAATGATGGAAGAGGAAGGTGCCATCATTTCAGGCCTTTTGGTTGGACTCAATGTGATTGATGCCAATTTCTGTATGAAGGGGGAAGATTTAGATTCTCAGGTATGTATATGGGCATCCTAGCATAGTACATTATAATATTAAACATTTAGTTATATGGCAGCATATAGTGTTTTGTATTCATTTGCAAGCTTCATATGCCTTTTTTTGTTTTTAATTAGGTTGGAGTCATTGATTTTTCAATGTACCTAAAAGAAGGTCCTATAGCAAAATGCAGTGAAGGGTAAGTGTAAGCCAAATAAAAAGCAATAAAACATAAGACTACATTATGTGATTGATCTTATTGACGTAAAGTAAACATTAAACAGACTAAAAAAATTGACCCTAAAGCACGGATAGGTACTCCAGCTGTTGTAGAACTACAAGTCCCATGAGGGATTGTAAGACTGAAGGTTACATTCATGACTCCCAAAGGCAGAGATGTGGGGGGATTTGTAGTTAAAGCAAAACTGGAGGGCCTGCAGTTGCCCAACCCTAAAGCATGTTTTTTTTTTCCCCCTCTTCCTCCTCCCTACATTATCCTTACTCTATTCACTGTATTAGGCGAATTCCCACATATCAGAATGCATATTCCAGCACCCACCAAGACCTCTAATTTGTTTGCCTGTCGGGGGGCACAATAATTCTGTGGCTCTATGTGGCCATTAAGATCATTTTTAATATGTTTAGTTATAAAGTTTACTTTCTCATGGAAAAAAAACTATCCTGCTGTGATTCACTGAAAATATTGGCCTCTTATTGGTTGTGTTGAAATCATTTTTCCTAATACCCTTAAAAACCTTTCTATAAATGTCACAATGTTGGAGCACAAGCGTGACTTACATTTCTGTGTTCGTTGTATTATCTTGTATTTATAATAAATGACAGTGGATATTGCCTTATCTTCGAATTACAAGACCTAGAAATGTCATGGTCTTTGCCCAGATCAGGGTTGAAATTGAGGGGAAATGAAGCATGACATGAATACACAGCATGGCTTATTACCAACATGCTTTTTCTTGACATTCATCAAGAGGCAAATATCAACCCATCCACAGCCGGGGGCTAATCTCTGCCTAGCAAGTCTGAATCATCTTGATGCATGGCATCTTTATGGCTGCTTTTTTAGTTCTAATTTTAGTAGCGTAAAAGAAAACAGAGAATTTTAAAGGCATATGACCTGTCAAGACTCTATGAAAATAATGGAGCTGATTATAAAAAATACTGCAATTAATGAAGAGCAGGACAGTTACCCAAAGCAACTAGTGAGGGGCTGATATTCATTTTGTAACCTACAATGGGAAACGCATAGTTGCTATTTACTAAGGTCACTTTAACACTTTCTGGTTTATTTTCCGTATAAATATCCTCCCCTCAACAGTGACAGATACAAATATCTACTTTCAATTCCTGTTAATTTTTTAATTTTTTATTAATTTTTAAAAAGAAGCCAGAAACAGTATTTATATCTAAACTTTCCCCTTAACAAAATCCCTCTGCAATTATAAAACATCAGGCACTAGTGATGTTGGGGTGCCCGAACGTAATCAACAACTCCCTTCCATTATCTCACCAGAGAGCAATACAACTACAACTAATTGTTCTGGTTGTTGGATTCATTAGGGAAGATCATTTACATATCAAATGTTTAGGTAGATCTTAGGTAGTAAACATTTTTTTTTACCATAGGGATGTTCAGATACCAAGTACCGTACTCGGTACAAGTACAGATACTTTTCCAGCTCCAAAACTAGACTAGAGAAAAATTCAAAAGTTAGGAGGCAGCTATTATTTTAACCAGTTGACATCCGCACTGTTAAACCCCCTTCCCATCCAGGCCATTTTTCAGTATTCAGCGATGCGGTACTTTGACTGACATTTATTCCGTCATGCAACGCTGTACTGAAATGAATTTTATACCCTTTTTTAGGGACAGATAGAGCTTTCTGTTGGTGGTATTTATTCACCACTGGGGGTTTTATTTTTTACTATAGCATACGGAGCGCCTGTTTAAATGTATGATTTGTTTTATAAATATATAACGGAAGCACCGATACCATTTTTTCAAGTAGAAGTACTGATACTTGCCCAAGTACTTACAAGTACGAGTACTGATACATTTCTGTTTATTGTCATGTGACAGTTTTTCTAAAACAATACAGACTAATGATTTCAGGACAGTGGTGGAGCGCCAGAGCCAGGTCCCAGCTGCAACCGCTGAAACCCTGGTAGTTCTTGTGAAAATTCAAAGTATTGGCACTGGTATCTGAACATCCCCACTATAATCTTTTTTCAGTATTTACAGCATAGTGATGGTGATGTATATTGCATTTTTGGCTGACTCTGGAATTTTTATCTAATATTGGCTTTTGTACACGCATAGAAATGTGACTTGGTAGATACTGTTTTATATAAAACACCATCACTTTGAGTAAAATATATAAATAAGTGAAAGCAAAGTCAGAATATTGAGATAATAAAAATTGTAAACTGTGTTTCTGGAAGAAAACCATACTTTTACGGTTTCATAGATCGTTAGTGGGTACACAAAGAGATTCAAAACACATGAAGCTTTACACAAATACGATCTTAATTGCATTCAGATCTTTAGCTATAGGAGTTCCCAAAGTACAATAAAACTTAAGAGAACTATGGGGTAAGTGTTTTTCTCCTTAGGGTCACGGGAGGACATATACTAACATATACTAACCTCGTCTCATGACCCAAAGCTCGGTATATAGTGCGCTATTGAGAGCGCTATATACTGAGAGCGCCGCAGCCAGGACGGATCCCGACAATACTGTGTGAGTGACAGCTGGCTCTGCTTATCTAGAGGCAGAGCCAGCTGTGCCCGCCCCCTGTCCATCTGTTCCTCCAGTCAGCGCTGGAGGATCATAGAGGGGAGGGGGGAATCCCTGTGGGGATCGGCACCTGAAAGTCACTGCAGGGAGACTATCAGGAAGTGAGCTGATCGGTTGCATATTTCTGCTCGCTGCCCGATCGATAGAGCCGACCTGTGACAGCTTCTATGTCACAGGTCGCCTCGAACTATGAGGATGAGTGCAAATCACTCACCTCATAGTTCTCCTTTAAATTAAACCTACTAGAGTATTAAAGTACTTAATTCAAACATAATGAGGGGAATTTATCAATACTGAAGCAGACAAAATCTGGAGCAGTTGCCCAGGGCAATCAATCGGCTTCTCTCTTCTGTCAGTACAGTTAAGATTTGAAAATGAAAGAGAGAAGCTGATTGGTTGCCATTCACAGCTGCTCCAGATTTTGTCTGCTCCAGTCTTGATTACATTCCCCTCCAATGACTTTAAAGCAGGTCTTAGAGGTGCTTGAACATACCAGCAGCAGATATCTTTTTTTCCTCCGTTATGGCCAAATATTAGCTATTCTGAACAGGCAAGACTTCGACATGTATGGGTAGTGACAATGCAAACCCATACCATCGTGCCCCACAAGAATTCCTGTTGGCTAAAGAGGCAACCCATCATAGTTGTGGCTCAATAGGAAGATTGGTTAATAAGATCTGCTGAAGGTATGTGCAGGCGCCTTTTGTATGGAGTAACTTTTTAAGAGGCCAATCTATAAATCTTCCACCCAGCCATACGCTGGGTAAATGTCATGTGCATGGCATTGCCGCCATGAGATGTAGCTGATGAAAATAGGAATTTACATGGAAGGAAAGGCCCCTAAGTGTCTTAAACACTCCAGAAGAACCAGATTTACTTTGGGTTCAGAGTGGAAATTCAGAGGGATATTTCATTTTTGGATACTCTGTTAATGTACTCACAGCAGGTATATAAAATGTGCAAGGACTAAACCTCTATCGTAAGTGGTGTCTACTGATTATGGATATTCTTGTTCAGTGATACTGGTTATGTATCAACAACAGTACTAATAAAAATGAGAGATGATTGTAAGCCCTCAGGGGCAGGGCCCTCCTTCCCATCTTGTCTTGAATTGTATTGTGATTATAATGTCTTCCTTACATTGTAAAGCGCTGCGCAAATTGTTGGCGGTATATAAATCCTGTATTATAATAATAATGTATACATAGAATTATGAGAGTGCACTACTTATGTTTCTGTTTTCTTCTCTACATAGAGATGGACAAATAACAGCTATTCTTGACCAGAAGAATTATGTAGAAGAACTAAACAGACAATTAAGGTAGAGTATGAGCAACTTTTCTAAAGGGGAAGGGTCATAAATCAAACTGGGTGATCTTTCTCTTAATACTTATAAAGCTAACATAGGATACCAATTCTGATTATTAAAGTATTTTTAGCACCTGAAAATCTGCATGGCCCTTTACCAATGTTGTCAGGACAGAAAGTGACGAGTACCACTAGTGTATCTTGTATGCATAACTGCCTTTGCACATTTCTAGGCCGCAGCTGATGAATTGACGTTTGTGAAAGTGTAGTCTATGGACCACTGGTGGTCTGCAAACATCCGCAATGGTCCGCAATGGGTGGTCCAGCAATTACTTATTTCTATGCACTCTATATTTGGCAAGTGATATGAACAAACAAGGGTACCCTTGCCTGGGAACGTCACTAACCATCTATTTAGTAGACTTGGAGCTGCTTTTCCCAGTGCTACACAGTGCACAAAACATGGTATATTCCATTGCAATGCAGTCTCTGTATGGAAATGTGTTGAAAGTACCCGGTGCAGCATGGCAGCGTCTGGTACACCAGCAGTAGCAGATAGGCTTTTCTAAGTGCTGCAGACAGCTGAAGATTGGGTGCATCAGCCATGAAGAGCTAATCTAGTTTTAAAAAACATTTTAATTCTTATCTAATTCTGTAGTCCTCATTTTTTCTTATGTTCATCACAGTGCCACTGTTAACAACCTTCAGGCAAAGGTGGATGCACTAGAAAAATCCAACACAAAGCTAACAGAAGAGGTATTTGGATCTTTTTGAGTTGCCTGATTACTGTTTTTATTTTTTTGTTCCTTGTTCTATGGATTTTGCAGTATGGATTTTTACACTATGAGAACTTTGCGCTTCATCTATTAAACTGGACGAAAAGCAAACTGAATTAGTTGCCAATTATCAATCGTCTCAATACAAACTGTTCCTCTCGTGACCCAAAGCTCGGTATATAGTGGGCTATTGAGAGCGCTATATACTGAGAGCGCCGCAGCCAGGACGGATCCTGAAAATACTGTCGGGAGCCACCCAGCTGTGTGAGTGACAGCTGGCTCTGCTTATCTGGAGGCAAAGCCAGCTGTGCCCGCCCCCTGTCCATCTGTTCCTCCAGTCAGCCCTGGAGGATCATAGAGGGGAGGGGGGAATCCCTGTGGGGATAGGCAACTGAAAGTCACGGCAGGGAGACTATCGGGAAGTGAGCGGATCGGTTGCATATTTCTGCTCGCTTCACGATCGATAGAGCCGACCTGTGACAGCTTCTATGTCACAGGTCGCCTCAAACTATGAGGATGAGTGCAAATCACTCACCTCATAGTTCTCCTTTAAACCTATTATAGTATTAAAGTAGTTAATTCAAATATAATGAGGGGAATTTATCAATACTGAAGCAGACAATATCTGGAGCAGTTGCCAAGGGCAATCAATCGGCTTCTCTCTTCAGTCAGTACAGTTAAGATTTGAAAATGAAAGCGAGAAGCTGATTGGTTGCCATTCACAGCTGCTCCAGATTTTGTCTGCTCCAGTCTTGATACATTCCCCTTAATGAGTTTAAAGCAGGCCTTAGAGGTGCTTGAACATACCAGCAGCAGATATCTTTTGTTTCCTCCGTTATGGCCAAATATTAGCTGTTCTGCAGTATGGATTTTTACACTATGAGAACTTTGCGCTTCATCTATTAAACTGGACGAAAAGCAAACTGAATTAGTTGCCAATTATCAATCGTCTCAATACAAACTGTTCCTCCTAGCCAAAATACTGGCTGTTTTGCTGATTCAATGTAGTTGGTACTTTTGGTTTGAGACAGGCAGGCAAGTAAGCTGTTTCAAAAGTAGGTTCTTTCATGGCAGCCTACATATACAGTATCTTAATGCTGGCTTCTCTTTAAACTCGCAGGTTACAGTTACCTCACCCTGCTCTGCTGGCGAACACTTAGGGGGGTTGGCCTTTATGATGTATAGAAAATGTATACCATACAGACTAAATACATTAGTTGACTTTGTAGATCACACTCTTGTCTTATTCCCAGCTTGCAGTGGCAAACAACAGAATCATTACCATGCAGGAGGAGATGGAGAGAATGAAAGAGGACAGTCCATACTTCTCCAAGGTAGCCAGTTTTTTACAGAGGATAAGCACCATGCCGCACAATGCTGTTACTTACTTTTCTACTGTTGGCTTAACTTTCTATATTTTTTACTTAACAGCATGATGACAATAAACAACTTTCTTCCCCATCCACATTTTCCCAATAATTGATATATACATACACACTTCCTTTAAACTAAAATAACCAGCAAGGCTTCTGATGTTTACTTTTCTTTTTTACTTTTACTTTGGTGGGTCATACTAAATATATAACTTTCCTCCATTCATTTCAGGTTAATAAACAAGAGAGGACTGCAGATGGGCAGATGCTAAGTGAGGTCAGGAAACACTTAAAAGAAGAAACTCAGCTAAGATTGGTACGTTGAATTTTCCAAGGTTTTGCCACTATGGGTCTACTATAAGCTACAGCTTCTAAAAGAAATCACTTTATTATCCACACTCTAACATTACAGCCAGGCTGTACACACATTTGCTAGATACCTAATTTTAGTGTCATAATACAACAACAGTAAAGGAAAAAAGAGCAGGAATCCAGAGTTTGTTTAGGTTCTTATGTTTATCAAGAAGAGTATCTGTCATTCTATTTATATTCATATATTTTATTAGCAATGGATACCTAAAACTCTACGTGGCTTCAAATTTGGTGTTGATCATGAACTGAAGACACAGTGTGGGGAATTTATCAAAACTGGAATAGACAGATCCTGCAGTAGTTGTCCATGGCAATCAATCAGCATCTCTCTTTAGTTTGCTCAGTTAAGATTTGAAAATGAGAGACAGAAGCGGATTGTTTGCAATGCAAATCTCCAGATTTTGTCTGCGCCAGTTTTGATACACCCCCCCCGCCAGTGGGTTTTAAATAATTCACATTTATTCATGTTTCTATTAAAACTTTCACAAACCTAAACTATGCAAACTGAACATATGATTAAACTATGCATAAGCAGAGGTCAACTTTAAAGAAATGGTTCAGATCCAGTATTATAGACAAGTTAAGTGAAGTGCAGATTTCAAGTTTGCCCCTGCTCCTGCCAAGCTACTGTGTGGGTGACATCAGTTACCAATAGGGAGGCTTCAAAAGACGAGTTGGTGGAATGCTCGACTCACTGATAGGTGACTTCACATCATTCTTAAAGGCAGCTCTCTCAACCGGGGTATCCCTAAGGGTCGAGGGAGTGGTCAAAACTGAATATAAAAGGAGTAACACAGGTGTGTATTAGGCCCAGTAAAGTTTTTTTTTTTTTGGCAATCGGTCACAGGATTTAGCAACGTGTTTTGGGGACTCGCATCTCCCCTTTAATCAAGGCTAAGAGATAAGATGGCATAAAATATTGTCTCAGTACACTATACCTCATCAACAGATGATATACTTGCTGTTTTAGATTTCCTATTTATATTGTTTTATGCCATCTTATTGCTCAGCCTTGATGAGGGGGTAGCTGTGAGCCCCCGAAACATGTTCAGCTATATCCCGCGATCTGTTGTCGTATACATTAGGGAGGCTTGGCTTGTAGGAGAGAGTAGGACCAAACTTGACTCTTGGAGCTAAAGATTTCCTTATAAATGTAGTTTCCTATATACCTCTGCTTATACATTTGTTCATCATATGCTTAGTTTGAATTGCCTTGGTTTGTGACATGTCTGCACACAATTAATCTACATACAACAGTAGTCAAAACCAATAAAGCATATGTTGTTGGGGAAATATTCTGATAAAAGTGAAACTGTAAAGATGTAAAAGAAGGCCAGAGTAGGATTACAGACGGTGATGTTAATTCATGCATATAAAAATCATGGCCAACAGTTGGATACCCCAGATGAGGTCATATGATACTCTGTAACTGTACTATATAGTATGCTTGAGTGCCACAATATTTCACCGGTTGCATATCTGATGGTTTTGTAAGGGATATTTTGTAACCATCCTACCTTAGTAGATTAGTCATTTAGTATTGATCTAAGGCCAATTTATTTTTTGGCACAGGAAAGCAAGAAACCAAGATATCCTCTATGTAACCAAACAAGGAGGAAGAATATCTTTGAAGTGACACTAAGAGTTAAATGTTAACAATACATTCTAGTTCGTGTTAACAAAAATGTATCTTATTTGTGTATCACTCAGCTGTAGATCCTCAAACCATCTCTGAATTGGTGCTGACACTGTCCTTCCCTCTGGAGGGTGGCTACTTTTGTTTCCCATGGTCCCTGTGTGTGTTGTAAAGTAGCCACCGCTCCAAGCTCACTCCTGTGATGGACTACAATCTTATATTTAGTTTACTAATTTGTATTGAGATTGTAGTCCATCACAGGAGCGAGCTTGGAGTGGTGGCTACTTTACAACACACACAAGGACCATGGGGAACAAACATAGCCACCCTCCAGAAGGAAGGACAGTGTCAGGATGAAGTCAGAGATGATTTGAGAATCTGCAGCCGAGTGATACACAAAAAAGATACATTTTTGTTAATAGTTGGGGTACTTTAATGTATTTTTAAGGTTTAACTCCTGAGTTTAGTGTCACTTTAAATTGTTATAAGAGGCTAAATTATGCAAAGAAGGTCTCTGGCTGATGCATTTTTAAGAAGCTTCATGATTTGGAAATACACATTTCCTCTATGTTCTGTTGTCTTATTAACCAGTTGACATCCGCGGTGTTAAACCCCCTTCCCATCCAGGCCATTTTGAGCAATTAGGGTTTGAATAGAGGTCCTTGGTATCCTTGTAGAAATAAACCCTTGCCCTCATGGCTGAACATTTTAGATGGACATTGCAAAAAAAATCAAAGCAACACCTTCCCATCTGCCCCTTCCCAGATAGCTGTCCTCTACTAATAGCTGGGAGAACAAGGGACCCTTTTACCTTAATAATATTCTTTGTAAAAGATCTACTCTCTTCCCTCCCATTCTGAAGAAAAGAAAGAGGAAATAACTGCACAGCTGAGGGGATTCATGGGTTTTAATGTTAGCTGCATGTTATACAAGTCTGCATACTTTAGTTGGAGCAGTTGTTTCATTAAGCTGAATTTGTGTGGATTTTAATCCCTATTTTTGACGACCATTACAGGATATAGAAAAAGAACTAGAAGTGCAGATAGGAATGAGACAAGAGATGGAGATGGCCATGAAGATGCTGGATAAGGATGTTTGTGAGAAGCAAGATGCACTAGCAGCTCTCAGACAGCAACTTGACGACCTCAGGGCCTTAAAGCATGAACTCTCCTTTAAACTGCAGGTCAGGAGCACACTAATATAAAGTGCATTCAGAGACATAAATGGCTATTGTTAACTTCGCCTCCATGAACACCAGCTCTGCTCTTTGTAAACACTTGAGATAACCACAAGATCCATTAGCATATATATTAAACAGACTGTTTTTTCCTTGTGGCTAATCACGAACATTGCTGAGCTCTACTTTGCATGCATATGTGATTTAAACACAGAGATGGACTAGCTACGTATATTTTTGCAGTATCAACTGAATTAGGTTGTTATACAGTCGTATTCCCTAGATTTGTGGAGAACTAGCACACGTATGGGGAGATAATACCTCACAAGACTGTTATCTGTTCACATATATTATTGAGCAGGATGGACAGCTCCACAACACATTACTATATCTGCACATGTACAGTATGTGGTATTTGGTCCAGTCTTTCCAGTCTAGGAATGTACGCACCATCCAGTTAAAAAAAAATTAAATCGTATGTTTCTGCCCACAATTTTCAAACATCTATGGCCCTTGAATACACATCAAGTCGTCTGGTCTATTCAGTACATGTATGATCAGATCAGGGTAAATTGAGTCTGTATAGAGACTTTCATAGTTGCTGCATAAAGTGGACATGTCATGCCCAACAAGCCAAACGCTAGTTCAAGCTTATTTGTTGTGCTTTTGGATTCTTTTTCTTCTTCTGGCGAGACTTGCCTTTATACGTGAATATGTCACTTACTTGGCAGGGTTCAGATCTGGCAGTGAAACAGAAGAACGAGTTAAACAGCCGCTTAGAAGAGAAGACCAATCAGATGGCTGCCACCATTAAACAGCTGGAGCAGAGGTAAAACACACACCATCATCTATCCAATGACACACAAGTTATATACTCAATTACTTTTCACAGGTCTGATGACCTTAATATTTTACACTGAACATGTGATGTTACTTAAAGTGTCATGTTACTTAAAGTGTATCTAAAAAATGTAGTGTATTGCAGCTTACCAGTCCTTAGATGTGGTGGCTACATTAGTTTTCACTTTTTCAGGCAAGTACATTTTCAGCAAGTACATAAATTATCTGTTGGTCTTGCCAGAAATGCAGTGTCATTGTCATAGATGCCATGGAGATGTGGAGAATGACACAAAGGCACAGAAAGTTAATTGCTGGCAGGATCACCAGGTGAAATATACAGTAAAAGAAACCTTAAAAACAAAAAAAATGTAGTCACCACATCTAAGCAACTGGTAAGCTGCAATATACTCAATTTTTGGATTTGGGTTTAGGTATCTACACTCAAATAGATCTTTTAACTTCAAGCAGATTTTCTCTCACTTCCTGTTTGTTAAAATGTTGTCACTGGAACAGAAAGTGAGGGTAAATCTTTTTAACAGAGTCTTGAATAGCCGTAAAACCTGATGGGACCTGTAACCTTTCCCAAGGTATTTACCCACTGTTTCTGGAAATGCAAAGTTTTGTTTTTACATTGTGATGATTGTGCAATATACAATATATGCATTACCAAGCACTATGAAATATATTGTATATAGCGTTTTATCATGTCGGTATTGCTAAACCATTCAGTCATCATTACCATTTTGACCACAGGTTGTGTTTGACCACAGTATGGTCACATCCACACCAGCATACAGATCCTTAATTTATATGGATTTGAACACCGTATAATTGTATGCTATGGACCCATTCACACAGCTCCATATTGGTCCACAGTATTTAGCTGCATAAACAAAAGCAAGAAAGATTGCGTCCATGGTCTCATTTTGACTATGTAATACTCTGTACGCATACAGGATAAGTGGACCATATGCGCTGCTGCTGAACTCAAAGCTAAGATGTAAACATCAAAAATGTGTAGACAGCATTAGTAGGGCAGATGAGGAATGACCTCGAGCCTTCAGTCATCCTGCGCCACTGAGTACACAATGTTGATATTTACATCTACCCCTGAATGCGTCATTCACATGGTGCATGACTAAAGAGTGACTGAAAGGGAGATGTCAACAAAGTGTAAGGCCTTACAAGCTGCCTGTGCGCATCTCGGCTCATAATGACATAAGCACATGTATGTCCATATGAGTTCAGATGCAGTACCGACCACTTTATATGCAGGTACTTGCTCCCAGCAAGATCCTTCATAGGTTTTCTACAGCCGTTTGCATGTCTAATACAGCTGAATATATACAGCATGATCTAGACATGCAGGGCTAGATGATACCTTGTAATGGTTAACCGAGTAGATTAAAGTGAACCTGCCAGCCATTTGTTACATTTAAAAACAAAACCATAAGGTGTCTGTTATTACCACTATTTGCAAGAAAACTTTTGCTTATGTTCTTTATGTTCCACTTTGATACTAAGTAGTTGACGTTCCTCACATCTGGGGCAAGCCCTGGCTGTTCTCCCCTAAAGCTGGGTGTCCTCTTTGCACGCTAATCAGGAACCTACCGCTGTGGCTATTGTATTTTGACAATTGCATCTCATTGGGTGCAGGCACTGTTGGGCCAACAAATTATCCTTCGAATCTTTCACATTTTCATATTAGGCCTGCCTGCCTGTCAGCACTTTTTAAATATTCCACTTAACTTCCACTTTAAGGGTCACTTATTGGACAGGGGTACAAGTGAGGGGAGTATCAAGGTGAACAGATCAGGAGGACACACAGAGGTATGTTTTCTGGCCAGTATTGGGAATAGCAGCCATCTTATGGTTCTTCCATCAGGTAGCATTTTTACTTTTCAAAGTTTTAAAGGTTCAGAAGATTCACTTAAATCGCAACTGCAGGAAAAATGTTTTTCTTTCTATTTGATTACAGTTGAGATTAAATGTAATGTTTTTGTCTGTGCTAAGCAGATACCCTCTCACTTCCTTCTCTGTCTGATAACCTTTCACCTGGACAGGAAGTGAGAAAACATTTCTAAATGGGTAGAGAGGCAGCACCAATGAATTATTACATTCCTTTGAAAAATATATTTTTTTATTTCTATGTGCGATCTTGTTGGGAAGATTTTCTCTTACTTCATGTTTTGTCTGACACATGTCAAAGAGACAGGAAGTGAAAAAAAAACCTTCCCCTACTCCTATTTAATAGCGCATCTTAATTGATCTGACAGCAGAAAATAAATGATCTGATTGTTATGGGTTGCTTTTTTTTACATTTCATTATTGCTGAATAGGTTACATACAAGTTGCTGTATGCCGTTTTAACTTGTTGTTTTTTTTTTTATATATATAAAATTGTATTAAATTCTTAACTGATCATTCTTTCTTGATGTTCTCTGTCTGCTTTTTTTAATCATTTGCCCTTGTCTGTCATCTGACTTTTTATTTGTTCATTTTAAACCTTGCCTACCTTTTTAAAACTGACAAACCAGTGAAAAGAATTTGGTGAAGCAGGCAAAAACCTTAAGTAGCACAGCGGGTAAACTACTACAGAAGCAGCACTAGGTGCCTAATAAGCGGCCACTGACCAACACTAACAGAGCAACTTGCGAGTAGGAGGAAACCTGCCCAGTTACTAGCTACTACATAGATGTTAAATGTTGCCTACCGTTCTTTTGGAAACTGCTGCATTTTGAAGCCATGACTCCTTTGTTCTGTTATCCTTTTTTCTCCTACCCTCTCACTATAGATGGAATCTTTGTTAGAACCCTCAAATATTTGCCAAATAAACTTTTTAAAACCATTTTCTTCGTCAGCAGTCTGTATTTTTAATTATAGGGATTGGGAAACTGGTTGAACAGAACCAGTCAACATTGGGCATTTGTAAGACGCTGAAACTTCTAAAAGCCCTCTTAAACTTGCCATAAGAGAAATACATGGCTGCCATAACTGGCCTCCTTCAGAAAATGCTGGTCACTTGGCTGGTATGCTAATGCCCTGGGCTCAGTTCTTTTCAAGTCATCAATCTGGAACACGTGTGTAGATTGTGAAAGTTGGATAGAAGTCAGAAATTGTTCCTGTTCAGTAATCCTGGAAATTATGAATGAATGACAGCCAGAAAGCTATCCTTTTTGCAAGGAAAACTTGGCAATGGCAGCTTTTATGTTTGCCTTTAAGATTTTATAATAGTGCTGCCTTAAGGTGGCCAGACATTTGTGCGAATGTTGGCCGTTTTTTGAGGAATCGGCTAAAATTTGCATAGTGGGTGCCACTGTTGGCACCCTTTTCAGCCAGCATCCGTTGATTGAAGGTGCTGATTAGCTGATTGAAGGAGCCGGTCTTCGTGTGAACACAGCAAGAAGCCAATGAGCTGCCGGTTCTGTTTGGGTATTCTGACAGCGGGCGCTGGCCTATGTCAGAATACAAAAGAAACAGTGGGGATTACTCCATCAACACATTTGTAGTGTTGATGGAGAAATCTGCTCTATTTTTTTTTAATTCAGCATGTGGGTTGAACAAAAAAATAGAGCAGTGTATGCCAGCTTTACTCTTAAGGTTGTGTCTCCATATTCTCTTGTATTCTCTCCCCATTGGAGTTCAAGTGTCTGGCTGTAATGTGTGGCCTGTGAGGCTTGCCTATCTTTTGTCTGAGCTCAGCGCTGATAAATGACACACACTCTCTGGGTGGCTAGAGACGGCTAGAACCTTTAGTTCTACAGCTATACAGTATTGCATGTTTTAATTGTGTTCTATCAGTACTGAGCTTGGGCAGAATAGAATGACCTCTATGCAGGCCTTACATCCAGATACTCTGCTTTCACAGGGATACTATACAAGTAAATGATCAAAAATAAGAGTGCTAACTGCTTTGCCACCCAAAGAAATCCTGTCACCAGCTTAAATAATTGCAGGTAAATACACAGGAAAATTAGGTATTTTAAATGTTTACTTGCAGTGCATTTCTTTTTTAATCACTTGCTGTGTGCCTTTGAACTTTCTAGAAATGGGACTTCACCAGGGGAATTGATTCATTAGCACATCTCCCTCTCTCTTTGCACATCTTAGCCCTCTCCTTTTCTGGGAATGTGTAATTACTCTGTGTACTGGCCCAGCTCCTCCGCCCCTCCCTTCGCCTTCCTACCTAAACTTTTTTGTAACTGCTGGGGGAGGAGCAAAGGGGAATGATATAGAGTAGGGGTAGGCAACCTCTGCACTACAGCTGTGCTAAAAATACAAATTCCATCATGCTTCTACCCCTTCGAGGCATGCCTGTGGCTGTCAAGAGTCTTGCAATGCCTCCAAGGACTTGTAGTTGCATAACATCTTGAGTGCCAAGGTTGCCTAACCCTGATATAGAGTGTCACTTGATTCTGCTGGGAGTTTGTAGAATATGTAGAGATACCGGCACTCCAAATAGTGAATCACATACGTCTGTTTATTGACGTATGAGCAGCATAATGTGATGCACTCAATGCGAAGTTTCGGGGTCTCACAGGATCCCCTTCATCAGTTGTAATGCCTAAGTTTCGGGGTCTCACAGGATCCCCTTCATCAGGCATAACAAGTGATGAAGGGGATCCTGTGAGACCCCGAAATGTCGCATTGAGTGCATCACATTATGCTGCTCATACGTCAATAAACAGACGTATGTGATTCACTATTTGGAGTGCCGGTGTCTCTATATATTCTACTAGCTAAATATCCTAGTGGCCAGCTGTCGACAGCCACAGCACCCACCTTTATTACTTTGGAACGTTGTTTTCGAGTACGATGGGTTCATGGACTTTGCTGGGGGTTTGTGTGACACTAAGTGCAGTCTCACTATGGGGAAATGTAACAGCCTGGGGATGGGCAATTTAGAGATTTTGGTGTGTGGCTCCCAAAGAGGCAGGTGGGGGTGTCTACAGCTATACTGTAACAAAAGAAAAAAAAATTGAAAGCCACAATATAATCTATCTTATGGGAAGATTTTCTGATTTAAAACCGTAAAAATTTGCAAAGTGCAGTGTTTAATAACCGTTATTTAGAATTCAGGTTGACATATCCGAAAATGCTGTCTGATTACCATTGGGTTACTACACTCAGCAGATCATCAGTGCTCCTTGTACTTCTAGAGTAAGCCTGTCACAAGGTGTAACGAAGAGGGCCTGGCAATAAAATCAGCAAAATGTCATTGCTTTCCATTAAAGGAGAACTATGGGGTTAAGACTTTTCCCCATAGTTCTCCCTAGGGTAACGGGAGGACACAAACCAGCGTCCTCCCGTCACCCTAGGCTCAGTATCTGTAGCTCGCGGTATACTGAGACGCCGCAGTATACCGCAGCTGAAGCGGATCCCGGCAATTATGTCTGGATCCGCCCAGCTGCGTGACTGACAGCTGGCTCTGCCTATCTAAAGGCAGAGCCAGCTGTACCCTCCCCCGCCCGTTCCGCCAATCAGCGCTGGCGGATCGGAGCGGGGGGAATCCAGTCCCTCCCCTGTCACGGCAGAGAGCCGTGACAGGATTGAGAGGTGAGCGAACCCGGTATGTGTTCGCCCACCTCCCAATCTACTGAGCCGACCTGTGACAGTCTCATTGTCACAGGTCGGCTAGAACTATGAGGTGAGTGAAAAGCACTCCCCTCATAGTTCTCCTTTTAAGCTTTCTGGCCGCTCAACAAATAGGAATCAGGATGTGGAGGAGTAAAGGCTTGTAAAATGTAAAGGAGTAAAATGTTTTAAAGCTTCTCTAGCAGACTTTTCCTCATTTAGTGAAGGTATATCTGAAAGGCATCCATGGTTTGTATGTCTCCATTATACAGCTATAATAATTATTTTGTGATTATTATCACAGCTGACAATAAGCAGACAGAATGTCAGAAGTGCCTGACAGATGTGCCACAGAGACTGATTAAAAGAGATTAGTTGCATGTCTGTTTAGAGATAATTTGGCTGTAGAAATCTGCATCGGAAAGGTCATATTAAATGCGTGCAGAACTGAATAGTGACAAAACGGTATTGCAAGCCACACTGACTTACAAAGGTGGCTGTCACATTGCAAAGGGATACAAATGTGTCTGTCTACCAATGCCTTTTGAGATTTCTGTATGATGGCCCAATAGGTGGAGACCAGACACTGGTAACTTCCACCTGACAATAAAACAGATTAATCAGAATATGGATCACTTAAATGAACAATTTAATATATAAACGGTGATTTAAAAACTCCATTTCATGTTTTTTATTGCACTTATTCATTTAATTTATTTCTCCCATGTCCTATCCATTCTGATTTCTCTAATCCTTTTTAACCATATTTTGATTTTTCACCTATTTAAGTTATTAAAGTAGCCTTGTCCCTGTCGCCACCACCTCCATTGCTTTTATTTATTATTACCCATTCATGTGGCTCAAACCCAGACTCCGAGTGACAGAGCGAGACAGACAGTCAGCCGAGGAAGCCAACCGTCTCTTCAAGCAAGAGTTTGGCGACAAGATCGAGAGCCTTCAGCTGGAAGTGGATCATCTCAAGAAGCAGCGGTGAAGAAATGATTGCTTGCTGTAGTTCTAGTCTCAAGCAGCGGTGATGCCACCTTGGTGTCTCTGGTGCCAGCCATTTGCCTAACCTCTTGCAGGTGGTGATATCTTTTATTGGAAGCCATAAACCTATTTTTAATGCTTCTATGTAGTCTTTATGAATTTTTTGAAAAATTCTTCCTCCCACTGGACAGTATGTCCACTGTAAAAAAAAAAAAAAAGAAAATGCAAAGTGAAATTGTAATCGGAGGTGTCACAACCTGCAAAGAAAATGTGCTAATAAGAGCTAATGGGAATTTGGGTAAAACAAATGTGTTTTTACTGTAGTCACTTGTTTAAAGTGACACCAGATCTCTTCTCTTGTAGTGTGATTAGAAATTCAGGCACCGGACCTTTTTATTTGATATTCCAAAATTAACTTTTTATTGCTCATAACTCGTATACATCTTTACAGTCATGTGTTTCATTCATCATCCACTTCATGTATGAATAAGGGCGAGGTGGGGAAAACAGATGACCTTATATTACTCAAATTAGGCCCAGTGCATTCTGGGTAAAAGGTTCTGTGCCTGTTCATCTTTCTAATAGCTTTGCTTGCTTCCGCATTTCTTGCCATCTACTTATCTAGGGTGTGCCCTAAGATCACTGCTGTAAAGAACAATCAAGGCTAGCAGTATAATTCATGGGGCTGTCAGTACCATAGCTGTAGACTGCATGTCACTCAAATGTTCTGATTGTAATATTGCATTATGGACACTAGATGGAGCATAGGAAATAAGTATTTTCTATACTCCTCTGCTGCTCCCTCTAGTGGCTATAATGCAATATTACAATCAGAACATTACAATTTATTTACACTTGTAAATAAAAAAAACTAGTGAACATTTGTTTGTGCATATTTTCTCACAGGACAAGTGCTCACACATATTCACAGGGCGAATGGCCCTGCAAATTCTTTATAAGTGAGCCCCTTAGTGTCTCCTATTGATAATTTTCTCTCACATTTTCCATATTATCATGATGAACGTGTTTTAGAATGTGTTGGGTGTAGCCAAAGATTTGCCTAGAACCTAGTCAACCTGTTACTGAGGGATCCTTTTGCTAGTGTCCTTAAAGGGGAAAGACTACTTGAATGGAGAAAATTATGGTGCCTTTTACAGCTGAATCGGCATACAATTCCATTGTTTATTTGGACTTCTATTGATCTTCAGAGGAAGAAGTTAAGAAAATCCTGGAAATCATTTACCAATTAGCTCTATTAAAACAATCCATTGTACATTTGTC